GGTTGTCAAAGACAAAGCACAAAAAAGGTTATAAAACTGTTTAAAGTGTTTTTTTCTTTTGTGGTCTCATTTTTATTTTGCCTATTTGGCAATTGAGTGAAGCTGCAGAGGGAGGAGGAGGAGACCCAAAGTTGCTTCTTCTCCGGTGAAAACAGGTATGAATCGATTCCTCTATGAGAAATGTTTGATTTTTCGATTCGATTGTTACAAAAAGTCAAAAGCTTGCTTGAGAAAAGATCGAGCTTCTCTGGCCGATTATCATAGTGGTTTGGTTATGGACTCGCTTCGAGGAATTTTGAAAATCCATAACTGTTTAGCCTATCTCATCGACTGTTCATGGTCTTGCTTTCTTAGATCCTTGATTTTGACTTGAGTTGGGAGAGAAATAGAGAGTAGGAGTTAAATTTCAGATTTGTATTGTGTTATGAGTTGTGCAATTTCTTGTAAAAAATGAGGACTTTATCATTTTTGTTAACGTTTTGGTTGTTTCCTTTGGGGCAATTTGCTTTCAAGATTTTGCAGATTTTGTTTCATTTGAGAGCTGAGAGCAAAGAGTTTGACCACTAAGAAGGTTGTCATGGCTCCCAAGAACACCCCGCAGCAGCCGAACCTAGAGACAAAGCCGGAGCAAGATCCGAAACTGAATTTGGATCAGAAGAAAGTAAATGGTCCAGAAGATTCAATCATACATATTCAAAAGATTGTGGAATCTTTGAAAGGAGATTCAATCGAAAAGGTTCGTACTATTGTGGAAACTTTGCATAAAATGGTTCCACCGGTAGTGGAACCAAAATCTACGCAAGCGAAAGTAAAGAAGCCTAGGGGTGCTTCTACTGGTGAACAGTCGACCAAGCCCACAAGCAAGGACGAATCCGACAATTCGATTGATAAGCTAAAACGTAATCTCCGTCTGCTAGAGGAGGATGTGGCTAAGCTACGACTACTTAACCAAGTGGTTGGAGAAGAGGTGAGCGGACATATAACTCCACTTCGCAAAGTGCTTCTAAAATTGGAAAAGGATATCAACCACGCTAAGTTGGCGAGGGGTACGACGAACGACTTGGAGGATATCAACAACGCTAGAGCGGCCAAGGGTACCACGTACGACTCGGAGGATATCAAGAACGCTAAGTTGACCAAGGGTATGAAGAAAGACTTGGAGGATATCAACAAGAAGATCTTTAACTTGATGTGTCAAGTCCCTTTGTTGCCCAACAAAAGCAGAAAAGCGGAAGGTTTAGATTCTGACGCTGGCAATGAGGATAATAACCACAAAGGAATTGTTTGCTTGCACGGCATCCATGCAAATGATGACGATCTCAAAAAACGAGCGGTTTTCAGATATGTACAACGCGAATTCAAGGAGCTTTCTTTTGAACGCCAGATCTGCTTGCTCAGCTTCGCCGTGTTCCCGGAGAATCAAGAGGTGAATAGAACGATGCTGATGTATTGGTGGATCGGAGAAGGGCTTATTCCTTATAAAGTCGAACCACCGCAAAAGGGCGTCCTGCCTGATGAAAAGAAGAGACCCGAAAATGTTGTGAAGGAGATTCTTAAGGAATTCACAGACAAAAAGTTGATTGAAGCTGTTGAGAACAAACGCAAAGTGGAGCCAAATAGCTATAAGATGAACCCTTTTGTGCATTCTTCAGTGGTTCTTATCTCCAAGGAGATAGGACTTTTCGATATGTATCATAAAGGAGAGAAGCCAACCATGAACAAATCAACGCTGAACAAGGTATGCCTTGTGGAAGACTCATCAAGCCAGACAGAAGCAAAAGCT